CCCCTGGGTCCTACTGCCCACCATTTCTACTTCTACCTGCTTCTCTGATCCATTTCTCGGTGCCATTGCACGCTTACTTATTCTCTTGGATACAGTTGGACCTCGCTGTCCCTAAATGTTAGCCATGGGAGTGCTAGAGTCCAAAGAAGGTCCCAGAATCTCTCTTGATTTTCCAAAGAGCTGTGTCCCTTCTGAAGGCTTATCGCAGGCCAGCTAAAAAAAGAGTAATCAATACCACCTCCTGTTTGATCCTGGATCTAATTGCGCTTGACTTTCAGTGTTTTTCCCCGACCTCGTTCTCCAGTGTGCTCCCCTCATTGGCGGCTGACAGCAGCCACAGCTACGAGAAACCAAACACGGTCCCATTGATCATCAGGCTCAGGCAGGGGTGCGAGTCAGAGATAAGCCACCATGCTTGAGCTACACCGGCTTTGCTGAGAACAGCAGCCAGCTTCAGTCTTTCTTTGAATGGGACCTTAGACACAGTGGATACTGACTGAAATTCAGAAATATAGCATTTCAAAAGAAAAGCAGTTTAATTCTACTTTCGATGTCTGGGAAAGTGTGACAGGTCTTTAGATAGGATAGTGATTAGTTCGCACGCAGACTTAAAGGTATTTGAGCATGAAGTACTGGAAGGTGCTTACTGGGTTAATATATGTAAGGTCCCTTAATTAGTCGGTCTATGGAGTTCTCACATTGTTTTTAATGAATGATTTGATATGTTAATGGGTGTGTGTGTGTCTGTGTGTGTGGATCAGGTTTATATTACATCCTGGGGACCAAATGCCCCCCATAATGTAATAAAAACCTGTTATTTTGACATTGTGGGGACCATTTTTCAGGTCCCGACAAAGATCTGTGATTGCAATTAAAAACCTAAAAATGCCTTGCATTTTGTTTGGTTACTTATGGTTAAGGTTAGGGCTGGGTAGGGGTTAAGGTTGTCATGTTAGGATTAGAGTTTTCCCCATAGAAATGAATGGACAGTTCCCACAAAGATATAATTACAAACGTGTGTATGTGTGTGTGTGTGTGTAAGAGAGAGACAGAGAGATACAGATAGGTCCACATCCCTGCCCAAGAGAGAGAGAGAGATTTTGTACTTCATGAACTGCTGGATGAAACAGCATCTACTTTCTCTCAGTCAGTTAGAGTTCACCCTGTTTACCATCTTCTTGCTCTGCATGGTGGCCTTCTAGGGAGCTATGGAGCATGGAGTGTCCTGTCATGTGACCTGCCAAGGGCCCCATCAGACAGAGGGGAAGGTGGTACTTGACTTTGCACCTGGTCCTCTACTCATCCTTGACTGCTCTCTGAACCTCAGCTGCCATGCCAGCACTGCCCTTATCAGGAATAATGGCCTTTTATTTAAACAAAAAAAGTATTTTTTTTGAATTCCCGCAAAAAGACGTCAGTTAACCTCACTTTAAGCATTATCTCGAGGGATTTCAGCAGAGCGGCAGGTGAAAACGGAGGCAAGGAATTGTCTTTGGTGGCTCTTAGCAACTGTTGAACGGCTATTCACGTATTAACACTCAGCAAAACGTAGTACTCATGTATTCATTTATTAACACTCCCTAAAGCATAGTACTCATGTATTCATTTGAAACACTCAGCAAAGTGTTGAACTGCCATATTCATTTATCAACACTCAGCAAAGTGTTGTACTCACATATTCATTTAGTAACACTCAGCAAAGCTCAGTACTTACGTATTCATTTGGGAACACTCAGCAAAGCTCAGTACTTACGTATTCATTTGGGAACACTCAGCAAAGCTCAGTACTTACGTATTCATTTGGGAACACTCAGCAAAGTGTAGCATTCATTTATTCGTTTGGGATCACTCAGGAAGGTGTCGTAATCACCCGTCTCCCTAAACATCCACACCCTCCCCAGAAACCTTCCCTAAAAATGATGTTGATGGTATGAGGGTCTCTAGTTTCCACCCAAAACTCACAGATGTACAGTTTGGGTAATTGGAGTCTCTAAGTTTCTGTAGTGCACAACTGTGCATGTGAGAGTGTATGACCTGTGTATATGTCCCATGGCGAACTGGCATCCCATCCAGGCTGTACACCCCAGCCTTTTGCCCTATGCTGCCTGGGATAGGCTCCGCTTCCCCCCCTCCCCCCCAACCCTGACCAGCATAAATGGTTAAAAAATGCATGCGTGGTTGAACTTAGGGATGGAGGGATGGATTGATGGTACGAGGGTCCTTCTGATCTCTGAGTTATGCTGTTTCTCTGCTGCTCTGACAAAAGGAGCGTTTGCTTCTCTCCCTGCCATCTGTATCTGCATTGGGGGAAGGGAGAAGGTCTTCGGTGGTCTCCGCCCCTGGATTCCATCCAGAGGTGGAGACGCCACGCTGTGAATACATCGCGGGGTGCGGAAATAATTACAGCCGCTGGCAGGCCGCTCCCTAGGCCAGACGTGTGACATGGGCGGCCCTGATTCACACTCAGTTCTTAACCAGTATCGGTCTATAACAAATGTGATCAGTTTGGAACAAAGTGTACGGTAGTATTGTCTGCCTATGAAAAGGGTGTGTTTCCCTTTGCTAAGTTCCATAAAGCAGCAAAGAATGAAGTGACAGGAAGATGAGACTAATACAAAACCTAAACTGCCCTCTGCTATGCTGTTTCATCAGATTAGGTGTGAAAGAGACAGAAAAGATTGTCATGGGCTGGCCAAGTAGCCCAAGCCAGCAAGGCAGGAATGCACAAAAAACCAAGCAGACTTCAAGTTTGGAAGAGCGCAGTAGAGCACATGGACTCACAAAGGACACAAACCTCACTCTGCACCTCAGGCCTCCCCAAACCTACAAACCTTTAATGACACATGGCCCTTTCCAGAGGTGGATAGCTCAGGTTCAGAAAGTAAAAATCCAGACCAAGATTTTGTTTTAACCAGCCACTTGAGCATAAAAAGTCACAGGCACAGAGTACTCAACTGCTTGGTTGAACACAAAATCTTGGTCTGGATTTTTGCCCATTCCCCCACAACTGATCTGACCAATCCAATTAAAAGAAATCTTCATACCCACACACCTGTCAATACGCTTTACTATACACATGACATGGAAGCCATCTTAACTGCAAAGGTTTTTAAAGACTAGAAAAACTAATATGGTTATTGTAAAGAAAATGCGAATAACTACACAATAAATACACATAACAATACTCTTAATATTGTCTTGTAATGTGCAATTATCATAATTATCAACAGTTTTATCCACCGACATAACAATTCAATAGAATTGATCAGTGGACCATATCTCATCAGTTAACCCTACACACAGTCACTAATCAACGGAGTCTCTCCCTACACACAGTCACTAATCAACGGAGTCTCTCCCTACACACAGTCACTAATCAACGGAGTCTCTCCCTACACACAGTCACTAAT